GCTGTGTTTGCTGGAGCGATGCCCACCATGGCCAGCGTAAAGCTTTCCACTGGTCGGCCTATTGTCAACCACCCTCACTACGAAGACGCTGGGCTGAGGTCAGAGGAATCTACAGCTCTTCTTCAATCTCCAATCTAGCATTAAATTAGCTATAAAAGATTTATTTCACAATTTCATTCATCTCGACAATAAAAGAAATGAATCAAACACTGCACCAAACAGGCATTTAAAATGACCATTCTTCAAATGATGATTGTGCTACTTTTCACTTCATTAACTTAATTCTGGAAGCAAAAATGTTGAGTCAATTTTTCCCCACACCAAATATACAAGTCCTTTATTACCTTTTTGTTCTCATCCCACTGCTTTATCACACTTTATAACATTGTTGATTCTCACAGAGAGAGAACCAAGCTGGTCTACTCCATGTACAGCCGCATGTCTGGAGAAACCGTTAAGAGGAACCTCATGAAGCTGGGAGTAGAGTTTTTCATCCTTGAGGATTCGTGGTGCACCAGGCGAACCAGGTACTGCAACAGCACCGCTGCTCCTTTCACTGTCGTGTGCACAGTAGACAAGCTTAAGTCGACCCCCTACTGCAGCAGTCCACGCTGCTAATGAAGTTGCATAATTAAACAGTCAATTTGTGTTTATTATTATATTTACAAAATACCACAGTTTTTGTGTTGGTCGTATCATTTTGTTTTGTTGCCTTAAAGGCCAGTCCGTGAAAATATTGTCTGACATTAAACTGGTCCGTGGCGCAAAAGAGTTTGGGGACCACTGCCCTGCTGGACAACTTTTACTCCTTTTAGGCAAACAGTGCAACCATTAAGTTTGCTGTTAAATCTGTTTTGACCACTGTTAACACAACACAATAAAAATTTGAAGAATATTTTCAAAAAGGATTAAAAAGACAAACAAAATAGAATCGAATTCAACTTTGTCATTGCACATGTCACAAGTACAAGGCAACGAAATGCAGTTTGCATCCATCCAGAAGTGCTTTAGCCATGATATAGATATATTTCAAATATATATTAGCAATAATATAGATATATTACAGAAATGGGTCTGTTATAGGTATGTTACAATGTACACGGTATGTAGATGTCATTTATGGTGCTCCGGTGATGCTCTGGGCAGTTTTCACAACCCTCTGCAACGCCTTCCGGCCCAAGGCAGAGCAGTTCCCGTACCAGACTGTTATACAGGTGGTCAGGATGCTCTCGATGGTGCAGCGATAGAGGTTCACCAGGATGTCTGAGGACAGGCGGTTCTTCCTCCGAGTCCTCAGGAAGAAGAGGCGCTGGTGAGCCTTCTTGTCCAGCTTGGAGCAGTTGGTCGTCCAGATGAGATCCTCGGAGATGTGGACTCCCAGGAACTTGAAGCTGCTCACACGCTCCACAGCCGTCCCTTTAATGTAGATGGGTGGATGTGGGTCAGCAAAATGCTATCCCTGAAACCTTTAACATTGCCTTTTATCTTATTTAATTCTTGTTTATCTTTCTCATTCTTCCTCTCCATCAGACCTGGGTGCAGCATGCCAGAGATCTGGGATATTGAGGACCCCCAAAATGTTGGTAAAACCCCCCTCTGCACCCATATTTCCAGGAACTCTCGACCCCACTTTACCACAGTCTTTTCCAATGACATTTACAAAGTTCTCAAAGTCCCCAAAGCCACCAAAGATCTCAGATAACATCGCTGGACACACTGGCTCAACACCAAACTGTTCGTTGCGTCACCTCTTTGTCGTGCATTTTTTGGTCACTCACTGCCGTTGCTGCTTTTTACTTCCCGAAAACCCCGGTTCCACATTTCTTTTGTTACTCTGATTCACCAAACGGTGGCTCAAAAACAGGTTGGACATAACAAACAAGTATGCCATGAGTCTAAAACCTCTTGGTGGCGTCACAGCTCTCAGTATTTTTAACTCAGTCTCTTTCCAGACTAGCTATTGCTGCGTTGTTGTCACTAGTGATGTTCATTATATGAAAGCCAGGCGGTGGTGGTTGTAGCTCTCCATTTAGCTTCCTGGCATTGGTCTTGTTACATATATTCCTTATTTTAAGGGATGCTCTACTTACATTTGTATAGTGTTTTTCTTACTGTGTAGACCCGATTTTGACTTTCACTTCAGAAGTAAACTTTTGTCTGGCAAGACCAATCAGTGATGTCCACATACTGTGAAGCAATACCCTCTGCAAACCTGGCAAAAGCTGACTTCTTCTATTGTTATGCACAGTGTTGATGTATGAAACGATTTTTCAGTAGTACACTATTTTTATAATTTATTGGTGTCACCGTTTTTATGCAACTTTAAAAGTGTTGAAACATTTTATTTTCAAGCAAACAGTGTTTTGAGACTTTTGGGAGTCTAGGAAGAAAATAATGTTCTTGTGTTTTAAAATGTACATAACATTGATGTCTATGTGAACTGAATTCACTCAAAAAACATTTTAGCTTAATTGGGAGCAGAGCTTTTGTTGTTGCTTCAGTAATAGTTAGTTTATTGTATAATTTTTATGTCCGAGAAGGTAACGAAAACATCGATTTCTTTGATTTTTTTTTTGTAAATACTGACTACGTTGTTTTGTAAACTGCTGATGGCCTTTAAAATGTTCTTTGTGCTTCTTGAATTATTGTTTGTTGCCAAAGGAAGTTTTATTATCAAAGCTGCATATTCAGGGTACTGTAGCATATGAAAAATTCATTTTTATGTGACAGCCAATCAGTTATTCGTAGCAGTAAATTTTATGGTAATGGTAGCAGTCGCCGGTTCCTTTGTCGGACCACATTAAAAACATGCCTCATTTGATTTATGCCATTACTTGAGAATAACAATGCCCCTGTCATGTCTGTTTAATAAATATGTAGCTATAGCCAGAAGCGGATCAGCTTTGCTTATTTTGGCAAAAGGACTGGAAAATGGGGAAAAGAGCTTAACTGGCTCCTTTAGAGAGTTATAGGAAAAAAACATAACAGGTCATAGTGTAATAACTTGAAAACGAGGTGACGTAGGATTTTGAAATTGATACCATAAGTGCGTCTACTAACAACTGCGGGCGACCTCGTCGTCAAGGTCAGAGGTCAGGTTTTCTGAAAATCTTGTAACAGGATGACTCCAGATGGAAGTCCAATTGATTTTCAAATTGATGGCATAGGTGCATTTATTAAAAATCTGAAACGAAAAGTTTGAATCCCTTTTAGGGAAGAAGTTTGGCGACCTTGGTCTCAAAGTCGAGCTCAGAGGTGAATCTTGGGAACATGACACTCAATTCATATTTTAGGTCTGTCTGCTAAAAATCTCAGACGAGTTTGAATCCCAGTGACTTCGAACTCAAGGTCAGCTTTCTAAAAACCACCTAGGCCATGAATTACTTGTTTAAATAAACCTGAATCTTCACGTCTAAAAGTCGATGGCTTGATCAACAGCTGATGGCTCAAGTTACATTAATATTTTCACAATTTACAATAAAGAACTAAGATTTTGCTCATTCCCTCAAAATACAGCTGTACAGAGTTTAACCGTTCAGCTTCAGCCGCCTACAAACAGTGAAGCTTGTCCTGCATTTCTGATTGTCTGTGGTGTCAGGAACGAACCTCAGAGACCATTCTCGTGGGATTTTTACATTGCAAAGCAAATTTCTCATCAAAGTTGAAATATTTTAATTTGGGTAAACATGGATTTGCCTGTAATGCTGCAGTTTTCCCTAGTTCAGAGATTTGGTTGGTTTATTTCTCTTAATAATAATCAGATTCAATAAACCCTTGAAGTCAGTTTTATGCCTGTTAAGATTCTTAAGTGCCATGACTCCTGGTAAAGGAGTTTTTTTTAATCTTTTCAGACTTGTATCCCTCTGTATAATCTATGAGTCTCTGAGCTTCTTTACTGATGTGTAATTAATATTAAAATGACAGTAAAAACCGGCACAGTACACTTTCGTACACTTGTGTTTTACACCCTGCAGCACCACAACTCGCCGTGGTGCACGACCTGCAGAAACGGCTGTTTATCGCATTGTGCTGCTCTTAGGTGGTGTGATGAAACTGTTTTCCTACAAAATCACAATTCCATGTTCAAGTTTCGTTTGTTTGCTTGTCTTTCCTCCCAGTCCTTGTGCTAAGGTGAGACACAAACTTGTTGGCTATAGCTTAATATTTGGTATACAGACATGTGGTGAGTGTGGCTCTTTTAAAAATGTAAAACTATTCCTGTGAGAGGAGTGAACCACCTTCACCAACAGGAGTAACTCAACCGTCACCACTCAGGTGTTTTTTCTATTGCCACTTTTCTTCATAAGATATTTCCTCCAGTCATTTATAAAAATGTATCAATGATTGTTTTAGTTTATATAAAAAAAGCTGATTTTGTTTGTTTTCTTGACAGATTAAAGATGTGTCTTGGGGTGAATAATTTACCTGACTTTAGTATCAGGAAAAAGATAAGATTTTTTTTTTTGTTGTTGAAAACTGTTATCTTCACGGTTGGAAAAAGTCGTTTCTGTGATGTGAATAAATGTGGCGAATTAATGTCTGAAGATTTTAATGGTGTACAAGCGAGCTTGCAAGTGCCCGGTTTTAAGCAACTGTGCCATTGTCACACTTTCCCAGACACTTTGACAAAATCACTTTATTCCACTCTCTGGCCTCGTTGTGTTTCTGATGTTTTTTCTATTTGTCTATATTTTCTGTATTTAAAAAATAAAATATTTGGAGTGAGCACCATTGCTTTGTCTTAAATGTAGATGTGAAAAGCACAAATCAAGCATTTATTTGAATTTTTAAAAAGATTGTTTATTGATTTATTTGAATCTGGTGTATTTTCCATTTATTTTTTGTTGGCTATATTCGTCATGCTTTCTTTGCGCTCTGCACTGCCTTTGTAGACATTCAAGAGTCACATCAAATATGTCCTGACAGCATTGGGAGAAACTCGCCCACTGACCTGCTCACAACACCTGTTTGGTTGTAATGGTGAGGCTGAATGTCTCGTGAGTAACTGCCTTTAGCTAACTGTTCTTTAGCTGTTGTTTACACAAAGTCAGTGTGTGATGCTCAGATTGGAATACAGGTCTCTCTTTATTAGCCTTCTGATTCTATTCTGATAAATTGGCACTGTGTCCCCTGCCTATGATGGCCTATCCCAGTTGTCATAGGGTGATGGATTTCTTTTGATTTGTTAAAATTCTGTAAGTGAAATAATTTTTCCACCTAATCCAGGACAGAACCATAAACCTCCACTTCGCACAGACTCAGATATTCCTCTCTTCCTGGGATGACAATGTTAACGTAGCGGCCATCCATCCCGTTGCATTGGAACTCTTGAATGCCGCCTGCAGGGATACTTGTGATCACAGCACACCTGGCAAAGGAAGCAGAAATCACTTGATTAACCTGGATACTTTCACCACGTCTCTGATGTAATGGTTTTGAATAACGCTGGGTTCTTCAGATTTCACTTAGAGCTGCACAAGGAGCCGACCATGAAGGAGAAAGCTGGCAAGTTTAATCTATTAATGTTTTTGCTTAATGGTTGGAGTCACAGAGTGTATTGATTACCGGTAATGTACTGCTGCTGCCATCAGGACAGTAAAAGACAAAAATCCCAACTGAGGTCCAATTTGATAATGCTTTAAATTATGCTAAATTATAATGCTTTCAGTTTTTATTCTGTAAAGTACCTGGGATTGCTGTTGCCATTGTTGTCAAGAGAGTCTCCAATGCGAATCTCAGCCCTGTTGAGTCGTTCTGGGTCAGAATCAGAGTTTACTATCTTAACAGAAAACACTTTGTGTGTTTTGCGCAGGTCAAGTCGCCACCAGGGGATGTTGTCATAGCTTGTCTGAGTGCAGGATCCTTTTTCTGGGTCGCTGTTACGATTTCCATCTATGGCGTTATATGCAAGCCCTAAGGTCTGCACTGATGACTGCGTGGCTTTTCCTTGGAGTGCAAGGTTCTCTCCTGCAAAATATGGTTGAGGGATTTATGTTCTCATCACAGACACATCAAGACAGTTTACTTGAATGGATGAGATGATCAACGCAGAGACCTTTAAACAAGCTCTCACAACTTTTGTTTTTTTTGGGGGGGGGGGGTTTGTGGAGCCAACTGAAATTTTAAAAACTGTGCCGTACTTGTTTTTTTAATTTTTTCTCAATAGTTTAATGGTTACACTTTTTGGCATCTTCCTGGAAGAGAGCTGCTCGCTTCCTCAGTTTTCCAGAGTGCAGTTCAGCAGTGACTATAGTGGCTTGAAAAAGTATTCGGCCTCCTTGAACTTTCCCACATTTTGCCACATTACTATGGAAGCCCGTTTCCGCCACTAAAAAAAAAAAAAAGCTAGTATCCATAACTCGAAATTTCGAGTTACATTTCTCAAAATTTCGAGTTAGCTCTGCCAATCAAAAATATACGTGAATGAGGTCGCTTTCTTGTTACCCGGAAGCATATGGCGCAGGACCGCGCACTCAAAAACAGATCCCAACAAATTAAAGAATGTTTGCTGATAGTAACACCATATGATTCAGCTAATAACACAGGGATTTCATCATTTGTGAAGCCAGGCTGAAAACACTCAGCAATCTGTGCATTCACGACTGGATGTAATACCGGTAGCTTAGCTGTAGCATTTGTAGCTGAGGGCTTCAGCTTCCGGGTAACATGAAAATGACGTCATTCACGTAGATTACAGATTGGCAGCGTTAACTCGAAATTTCGAGTTGCTTTTCTCAAAATTTTGAGTTAATATGTCGAAATTTCGAGAAAATAACATTTTTTACAAATAACTGCAAAGTGGGGTGCAGTCAGCTGCCCATAGACATTGCCTGATGAGTGCTAATGACTAAATAGAGTGCACCTGTGTGTAATCTAATGTCAGTACAAATACAGCTGCTCTGTGACGGCCTCAGAGGTTGTCTAAGAGAATATTGGGAGCAACAACACCATGAAGTCCAAAGAACACACCAGACAGGTCAGGGATAAAGTTATTGAGACATTTAAAGCAGGCTTAGGCTACAAAAAGATTTCCCAAGCCTTGAACATCCCACAGAGCACTGTTCAAGCGATCATTCAGAAATGGAAAAGACTTGAGACTGGGGCGGAGGTTCACCTTCCAGCAGGACAACGACCCAAAACATAAAGCCAGGGCAACAATGGGATGGTTTAAAACAAAACATATTTATGTGTTAGAACGGCCCAGTCAAAGTCCAGATCTAAATCCAATCGAGAATCTGTGGCAAGATCTGAAAACTGCTGAAGAAGATTGGGCAAGAATTTCAGTCTCTAGATGTGCAAAGCTGGTAGAGACATACCCTAAAAGACTGGCAGCTGTAATTGCAGCAAAAGGTTGTTCTACAAAGTATTGCCTCAGGGGGCAGAATAATTACGCACACCCCACTTTTAAGTTATTTGCAAAAAAATTTTGGAATCATGTATGATTTTCGTTCCACTTCTCACGTGTACACCACTTTGTGTTGGTCTTTCACGTAGAATTCCAATAAAACTGATTCAGGTTTGTGGCTGTAATGTGACAAAATGTGGAAAAGTTCAAGGGGGCTGAATACTTTTGCAAGCACTGTATCTGCATATATAAATTATCTAATTATGTGTGGTTGATTGATCAGTGCCATTTTTCTGCTTTAAGTCAAAGTGGTTTGTTGGACCTGGCTGGATCTATTCTGGTGTATTTGGTAACGTTATTTGTAGGTTAATGGAAACTTGGTAGTGGTTTGATGCAACTTGATTTGTCCAAGTTATCTTCTGTTTAGCGGCCAACCGTGGAGCTTTGTGTTTTTTGTTTCAAATTATGGTTTAGTTTTCCTTTTCTTTCTAGCAGTAGTGGGGCTTTCTGTTTATTGTTTTAGTCCCTGATGTCAGTTTGCTTTTCATGTTGTTCCCGTACCATTACGTTAATGGTATAAATTAATTACTGATATTTAAATATCTGTCTTGTTTGTGGTATGGTCTGCTGGCACTTTAGGGGACTCATGGAGTGGTAACACAGATGTTTTTTGGGTGGTGAAGGAAAAACTACATTTGTGAAAGACTTAAGTCTCATATTTTTTTCTCAAACTATTCACATTTGTTTATGCCACTTCACAGAGAACTCGTGGAGTGCAGACTGATGCTGGATTTCTGACTAGGCTAATAACTCCTGAAAAAATGGAGGACTCTTTATAAAAAAGGTTGTAATTCATAAACATTTAATGTAATACTTTCGATAAAACTCTTAAGATGAAAGTCTGTACTTCAGTTACATCTTATTTGAGATAGACTAGTGGTAAAGTCAAAATTACAAAAAAGTATGGTGAGAAAGAAAAGGGTGTTGTTTAATTTCTTACCAGTTGGGGCATGATACCCATAAACCTCCACTTCACAGAGTGTAAGAATTCTGTTTGAACCTGGTAAAAGCACAGTGACATAACGTCCCTCCACACGATTACTGAAAGTTATCGTGTGTGAGCTCCCTGCAGGAATTGAAGAAATTATAGCAACCCTAAAGGAGAGGAAGAAGCCTGTAGTCTCAAGTCTTTCTATTATACAGAAAAGTTTCAGATAAATACTGAATACACTGGAAATTATCAGTGACTCACCGTGGGTTTGCAGCGCCATTGTCTTGTAACTTGTTGCCAATATGAATCTCTGCTCCATTGATCCTTTCTTCGCAACAGTCTTCTCGATTGGTGATGATCATGGAGGTGATTATATAGGACTCCAGCAAGTCTACTCTCCACCAGGGGTTTGCCTCTGTTGCAGTGTGACTGCATGATCCATAATTAAAGCGAGATTTACGGTTTCCATCGATAGCATTACCCGCTGCTGCAAATCCATCCCACTCTCCCGGGTCGATTAGACGTGACTGCGTGGCTTTTCCACGTAAAGCCACATTTTCTGTAAAAGATATAAACATATTTTCATCAGCTTTGTTTTTCCTTTGGAGGAATTGATATCATCCAAAAACCTGTGTGTTCAATCTACGATCATTAGCTTGACATGAAAGTTGAGCCTTTAGGGTTCCAAGTAGTAACAACACACATGACTTTCTCGATCAGTTCATTTTGGTTATTGCTTAGCTTTTGTGCATCATCTTCAAGAGGTTAATATTTTGTTGTTGTTTTTTTACAGATTTGACTTAACACGTATTGGATGGAACGCCATGAAATTTGCACAATCAATACATGTCATTATCTTTGGTGATCTTTTTTTATACAGTTAGGATGTCCACTTTTATTTTTTTAATTCTACTACGATTGGATCAGCATGCCATTTTTATGTACATTCACATTTGTTTTACAGTTAAAAATAATTCTACTGCATCTAGTGATCTTTTATAATTGATCCTAATGTGCTGGTATTTGTACATCGTACTTACGGTAAGTGAAGACTGAGGACATCTGCACAAAGAGGAGCAAAAGAGATGCTCTACTGAAGCTCATAATTCTGGTTGATACAAAGAAGATAAAAAAGATTTAGGTTAGGTAATTTAGGTTTTTCCAAATGTGCAGGTACTGGAGTACAAAAACTGAATACATGCACAGTCAAGTGCAAATCTGTCAAAAAGTTCCTTAATACAGTGAATTGTTGAAAAATGTAAGATGACTGAAATAAAAATGTTAATTTTTACCCTGAATTTGTTCACGTAATCAAAAAAGAGTCAACTCTCAGGCAAGGCAAAGCTTATCATTACTATTTACTTTAAATACCATATTCAGCATGGACACTATCCAATCACATTACATTACAGAGTTTACTCCCACCACTTATCACCTTTGGACACCTTGAAATGTTTTGACAATGTTTATTTAATGCACTTTCGTGTTTAATATTACTATTTGACTTCATTTCCCCGAGTGGATCATTACGGTTTTGCCATACTGCTCCACTTGATTGAACTTTATTACTAATTTATTTTTTTACTTTCAAGTTCTTACAATTGGAAGAGACATGACCGAGGGATAGGAAAGGGAAAGATGTAGACAAGAGAAGTTGGAAAAAAAGAAGAGGGACCATGAGGAAAGACACTAAAAATCTGCTAGATTACCTGCTGGGGGAAAAAAGGAAAACAAGCATCCTGGCAGAAGTAACAGAAACTGATTTATTCTTGGTCAGAACCAATGACTGTAGAAAATGGTCATCTGTCGAACAAACAACTTCTTCATTGAGATCAAGGAGTCGACTCGCAGCCAAATCTCTGGAGGGGGAGTCGGTCATTTTAAGTCACATTACTCATCAACACCCTCCAGTCTTATCAAATGATAGTCTTGCAAACATGTTACAGAGCATTAATGCACATTCAGGTCTCACAGTGCTATTTGACTGGAAATTACTGCGTTAAGTCTTTTGTCTTTTTACATCTCTTTTGTCTTCCACATTTAAACACATCATCATCAAAAGACAGATATTAGTTGTGTTGTACACTGTAACAATAATTCCAGTTGTCATTGTGATGTTGTAGTTACACCTTTTTCTACAGGTTATGTTTTTTTGTTTTTCCATATAATTCAAAAAGTCAGCATTTTGTTGGTTACTGAACTTTGTACTTAACAGTTGAGTCAACAGGAAGGCCTATCAAAATATTTGCATGTCGTTACCTAACTCTGTGCTTGGGTAAGTATTACACAGTTCAGTGTCACCACATGAATGGACTGTAACGATGCTCTCAATAACTATAACTTTAGAAATAAAAAAATCTAAAATCTAATAAAAATAATAGGTTTTAAATGGTTTTATTGTATTTCAATAATCATTACATACAACTTTTTCTTTCTTCAGCAGGTACAATGACAATCCATCAGTTGCTTATGGTAGGAAAAAAAATTAGGAGCTGGAATGAAAACATTTCCAGACATCTATCACAATGTGCAGGTTGTATACATGTTTATCTGATTTTGCTTTTATATTGTCTGTATTTATCTTACAAAGTATTTTCCGTCCTCTATCCTAAAGTCTCATCATGCAGTCACAGAAAAACTTAAAATGAGCTGTGTGGGAATTCAGTTATAGATAGATATGATCATATTAAAGATTAAGTGATTAGTAAGTGACAGATGAGTTTTGGTTCATATGATCATGTGTAAAAGTTGAATGTTATGAACCTAATCAAGTTTAGATCCATACACTTCAACTTCACACAGACTAAGGAACTCTTCTCGGGCCGGGATGACAATGTTCACATAGCGGCCGTCCATTCCATTGCATGTGAAATTAGCAACAGCACCTCCCGCGATGTTTGTGATCACTGCACACCTGGCAGATGAAACAAAAAGGTTAGCAAGTTTTGTATTTTAAAAAATGTCTTTAATTAAAAAACACACAGGGATTTTCAGAGCTATACAGGGAGTGCAGAATTATTAGGCAAGTTGTATTTTTGAGGAATAATGTTATTATTGAACAACAACCATGTTCTCAATGAACCCAAAAAACTCATTAATATCAAAGCTGAATGTTTTTGGAAGTAGTTTTTAGTT